ATGCCACACATCACTCACTCTTCTAACCACCTGAAGACCAAGCCTGACACTTTTTGTTTACATGAAAAAAAAAATCAGTATTTTTTACTAGGAAATTAATTTAAACCCCCAAACATTATATATTTTTTTAAAACAGACACCCTAGTGACTAAAATGGTGAGTACTACAATTTTTTATGGCACATAGTACTCGTACAGCGATTTTTCAAAAGCAAATTAAATAAAAAAAAAAAAAAACAAACTTTTTTTACTTTTAATGCACAAAAAACACAATATATTGGTCAATTATTTAGTAAAATATAAAAGATAATGGTATACCCGAGTAAATAGATATCAAACATGACATGCTTTAAAACGCATGCCTCGTGCAATGGCGAGAATCTGCAAACATTTTTAATATCCATAGGCAACGCTTTAAAAGCCTTTAAAGCTACCATTTTAGATTTACAGAGGAGGTCTAGTGTTAGAATTACTGCCCTTGATCTGACATTCATGGCAATTACCTCACATGCATGGTGCAACCGCTGTTTACATACCAGCACAGGGTCAGGGCTTGTGCACACAGGTGTGCGCGCATGGGAGGGGCGATTTTTTTTTTTTATTTTGATTCTTTTTTTATTATTTTTACATTTGTACCTTTCATTTTTTTTTGCTTTGATCACTTCTAATGCTATAACAGGGAATGCACATATCCCCTATAACTTCAATGGGCATTGTCATATATTCTTTTTTGAGAAATCTGGGGTCTATCAGACTCTAGATATCTCCTCTGCCCTTACATTATCTAATCAAACCAAAATCGGTGTGATCAGATGCTTTCCCAATTTACAAATGGCGCTGTTTATATCCTGCGAAACTGAAGGGATGAAATGCTTGTAGCTTCTGAATTCTTAAGCTATAGAGATGATTGGCACCATTCTGGTCTCCAATCAGCTCTATGGTCAGCTGGCAGAAACACCGGCTGCATTCTCAGGTTCCCCCAATGGCACGAGACTGCCCGAGAAGGCCGTGGAAGGCAGCAGGGGAGGGGGCATCACTTCCCACTGCTTGTAAAAGCAATCCTGCAGCTAATTAGCCACTAGGATTGCTTTTACATGAAAGACGATCGCCGGCTGAAAAAAAACCATACCAGGATGATGCCTGCAGCTGTAGGCATCATCCTGGTATAACCAAAGTCCAGTAATGTACCAGTACGTTGCTGGTCCTTGTTGGGTATATATACTATGTTCTTTTTTTTTTGTATGCAGCCTGTGGACTGAATGACAAAAATGAGAAGAAATCTCTGCCAGAAAAAGTGTGTGGTATGCCCACCATTAGAATATACCACCCTGCATCCACCCACTTCTAATGGTGGGCACACATTAGGTCACACTTTGTCACAAGCGCCAGTTCCAAGATTGAACAAATGTCTAAATAGTGGCACACTTGAATAAAAATTGTCCACGTATAAGTGGTACCCCATATGGAAAAAGGATGACACCAAGTCCCAAACTATCTTGTCACTGCTCCCCATGTAGTCTGGGCATCCAGGGGGCTCCACGTGACTATCTTTTCCCTCATAAATCCAAAACTTATACGTATAGCCGGTTGTCCTCTCACAGGTCTTCTACATCTTGACCCCATATCTGGAAGGCTTGCTGGGGAGAAATTGTTTGAATGCAAGACGGCCAGAAAAATTAATGAGGGACTCATCAACGCAGATTTTTTGCTGGGGAGTATAGACATCTGCAAATTCATAAAAGGGTTTTATTGAGAAAAAACACAAGAGGGCGCACTCTCCTAGTACATTACCGTGATGACAGATTTATTAAAAGATAATTCACAAATGTATACTCACAAACAAACCATAAAAACAGACATAGAAGCAGATATTTCCGTCTCAGACAGTGGGGTCCTGTTCCATAAGTAACCAATAGGAATATCTTACATGTTTCGGGAGATGAACTCCCTTCCTTAGAGCTGAATCAAATGAAAGTGCCAATGCCCCATATATAGAGGAAATCACATGTGTTAGCCATCACCACACCCAATCCACAAGGAGAAGGAGGGGCCCACTAAGGACCGCCCAGTGTAATCGCCCACAGCAGTGAGACTGACAGGATCACAACTACCTTTGGATCACTCGCTCAGTGGCAACAAATGGACATATGCCATGCTGCATGGATATGAAAAGTGTTTGCGATTGCCGTAATATAAAATGCCAAATCATGCAGCAAATATATAACTGAAAAAAGTGACCAATGTCTATTTCCACATGTGTCATGAACGAATACCTGTGGCACCTTACTGGTAAGTTGATACTCTGTACAGGCATGCTGGATAATAGATCGCCTCATAAGATCACATGCCGTCACCTGAAGCACCAGCCAAAGAGCTAATGCTACGAGCCATGCGCCAGGATTGCATCCTTGCTAGTGTGCATGCGCTCACATGACAAGCAGAAGCACACGAGCTGCTGCTAGCCAGCCAGAGGATGGTGACAGGTAGCGCAATGGAAGTGTGTCATCACGGACACGCACGCGCTCCTGTGTGTCCAAGATGTGATATATGTATATATTTGTGCTTTATATAGCTTTTATGCTATTTTTAATATGTCCCTGGGTGCCGTGCTGGTGCCATGTGTCTAGATGAAATCCGGGTGGTTCCTCCCCTTCCACTCCTCCTCTTTTGATGTCCACTGTAGACACATCCCAGCTTTATTTTTTTCCCTTCAGGCACCACTTCTGCCTGTTGTTCGGGCAGGCCATCGCCTGTAGGCAGGAGTGCACATGCGTGTCCGAAATGACGTACTTCCGGTGCGCTGCCTACCACCATCCTCGAGCCAGCTAGCAGCGGCACGCGCACTAGCAAGGATGCACTCCCATGCGCATGGCCCATAGCACTAGATCTTTGGTGGGTGCTTCAGGCACTGATATGTGATCTTATACGGTGATCTATTATCCAGCACGTTTGTACTGAGTATGCACTTACCAGTAAGTTGCCACAAGTACACTGCTCAAAAAAATTAAAGGAACATTTTGAAAACCCATCACATCTCAATGGGAAAAAATATCATGCTGGATATCTATACTGATATGGACTTGGTAATGTGTTAGGAACATAAGGATGCCCCATTGTTTGAAAGTCACCCCGAAAATCAAAGTGAAAAAATAATGCAGCAGGCTAGTCCATTTTGCTGAAATTTCATTGCAGCAACTCAAAATGGTACTCAGTAGTTTGAATGGCCCCCGCATGCTTGTATGCATGCCTGGAAACATTGGGGCATGCTCCTAATGAGGCGACGGATGGTGTCCTGGGGCATTTCCTCCCAGATCTGAACCAGGGTATTACTGAGCTCCTGTACAGTCTGAGGTACAACCTGGCGGCGTCGGATGGACCAAAACATGATATCCCAGAGATGTTCTATTGGATTTAGATCAGGCGAGCATGGGGGCCATTCAATGGTATCAATTCCTTCATCCTCCAGGAACTGCCTGTATACTCTCGGCACATCAGGCCGGGCATTGTCATGCACCAGGAGGAACCCAGGACCCGCTGCACCAGCGTAGGGTCTGACAATGGGTCCAAGGATTTCATCCCGATATCTAATGGCATTCATGGTGCCATTGTCTAGCCTGTAGAGGATTGTGCGTCCCTCCATGGTAATGCCTCCCAGATCATCACTGACCAACCACTAAAACGGTCATGCTGAAAAATGTTACAGGCAGCATAACGTTCTCCACGGCTTCTCCAGACCCTGTCACGTCTGTCACATGTGCTCAGGGTGAACGTGCTCTCATCAGTGAAAAGCACAGGGTGCCAGTGGCGGAACTGCCAATTCTGGTGTTCAATAGCAAATGCCAATCGAGCTCTATGGTGCTGGGCAGTGAGCACAGGGCCCACTAGAGGACGTCGAGCCCTCAGGCCACCCTAATGAAGTCTGTTTCTGATTGTTTGGTCAGAGACATTCACACCAGTAGCCTGCTGGAGGTCATTTTGTAGGGCTCTGGCAGTGCTCATCCTGTTCCTCCTTGCACAAAGTATTTTTCCAATAGCTGTAAATTTGATAGATCTTTGCCTAGTATTTTTTATCTTTCGCTGGCTGTTTAATTTAAGGTTTTAATCAGAATTCAAATTTTATCCACTTTTTTTTCCTCTGCAAAGCAGGGAGTAAAAATCAGAAAATTGCATAGTAAAACAGCACATGATACACAGAGTAAACATTGTTAGGCACACATTTAACCCCATGATCACCCTAGATGTTAACCCCTTCCTAGCAAGTGTCATTAGCACAGTGACAGTATATATCTTTAGCACTGATCACGAATAGTGTCACTGGATATGTCAGGTGGCAGTTAGTCAATTCCCCCACCACCAGTTAGTGTCAGATTGACCATCGTACTATCGCAGTCCCACTATAAGTCACTGATTGCTGCCATTACTAGTATAAAAAATTAAAAATTCCAGTTATTGGGATTATTTTATTGAAGACATAGCAGAATACATTTTGGCCAAAATATATAAAGAAATTAGATTTTTTTTTAATTTTTTGTTGGATATCTTTTAAAGCAGAAAGTAGAAAATATTAGGTTATTTTCCAAATTTTCTGTCTTTTTTCATTTACAAAGCAAAAAAAATTAAAAACCCAGTGGTGATCAAATACCACCAAAAGAAAGCTTTATTTGTGCCGAACTGCAAAAAATGGCCTGGTCATGAAGGGGGTACAATCTTCTGGGGCTGAAGTGCATATTAGGTGCTGAAAGTTCCTCTTATTTGCACCTGAGCAGTAGTTTTTTTCTTATCAAATATAAAGGCAACTCCATGATTTCTCATAAATAAACCCAGCCCCCTGACCCAAATTAATAAAAAAAAATACCAAATTAGCAACAAACCAGATATGGGCATTCCAATACAAATTTTGATATGGCAATGAGCATTTTACTGTAAGCAAGGAAATATACACACATCATATTTCAGACAAGATTAGAATGATATAGGTTTGTGGGAGAAACAGCTACTCACTTGTTCAAAATACACATGAACTGGGTCTGATTTAATTCATTTCCAGGGAGTATATAGCGCAATACCGGTTGGTGCATGTTCCTGAGCAGAACAAAAAGCAGGACTGAGCTTGTTGGAGAGTGAAGTCTGGACGCACATAAGGGGCACAGTCATCTGCCCAAACTGAAAAAAGAAAACAAAATTGTTGGTTTAATAGTATTTATTCATTACAAGTATTTATATAGGACTGTCAGTTTACACACCACCTTATATACTGTACATTCACAGTTACATACAGTGGATATAAAAAGGTCAGGTTTAACCCCTGTTAAAATGTCAGGTTTCTGTGATGTAAAAAAATGAGACAAAGATAAATTATTTTAGACCTTTTTCCACAGCGTGGAGTGTGATCAGGGATTATTATAATTTTTTTTTTTTACACTTTGCATGGCAGGAGCAATAAAGATTGCTCTGCAATGCAATGCTTCCTTTGAACGGTCATGAATGGGTTAGGTTCATGGCAGTACAAAATTAACTGTGATTGGCTCCAGCCTTTCACATGGTACAGGGTACTGTGATTGGCCCATGTACCATGTGAGAGCTGTGGGCCAATAATAGCTTTCCAGGAACAGTAGCAAAGCTGTTATGAATCAGATTGATTAATAATTGCTTTGCTAGCAGTGTGATTTACAAACCCCTGTTAAAATGTCAGGTTTCTGTGATGTAAAAAAATGAGACAAAGATAAATCAAAGAAGTAATTACAGAACCTTTTACACCTTTTAATGTAACCTTTAAACTGCACAACTCAGTTGAACAACAAACTGAAATATTTTAGGTGGAGGAAAGTAAAAATAAAAAACTAAAATAATATGGTTGCATAAGTGTGCACACCCTTAAACTAATACTTTGTTGAAGCGCATCTTGATTTTATTACAGCACTCAGTCTTTTTGGGTATGAGTCTATCAGTATGACACATCTTGACTTGGCAATATTTACCCACTCTTCCTTGCAAAAACACTCCAAATCTGTCAGTTTGCGAGGGCATCTCCTGTGCACAGCCCTCTTCAGTTCATCCCACAGATTTTTGATCGGATTCAGGTCTGGCTAGGCCATTCCAAAACTTTAATCTTCTTCTCGTAAAACCTATAAATTGTACAACCCAATTGAAAAACAATCTGAAATATTTTAGGGGAACACAGTGAAGAGTCACCAAGTGGAGAAAATATGGCGCAACAGTGACATTACCAAGAACAGGATGTCCCTCCAAAATTGATAAAAAGACGAGAAAAAAAAAACTGGTCTGGGAGGCTGTCAATAGACCTACAGCAACATTAAAGGAGCTACAGGAATATATGGCAAGTACAAGTACTGGCTGTGTGGTACATGTGACAACAATTTCCCATATTTTGCATATGTCTGGGCTATGGGTTCTTAAAAAAAAAAAAAAAAAAAAGCCCGGTTAAATTTTGCAAAAACACATCTAAAGTCTCCCAAAAGCATGTGGGAAAATGTGTCATGGTCTGATGAAACCAAGGTTGAACTTTTCGAAAAGAGATGTTTGGTGTAAAAAAACTGCACATCACCAAAAGAACACCATACCCACAGTGAAGCATGGTGGTGGCAGCATCATGCTTTGGGGCTGTTTTTCTTCATCTTTCAGCATGACAACGACCCAAAGCATACATCCAAATCAACAAAGGAATGGCTTTACCGGAAGAAGAAGATTAAAGTTTTGGAATGGCCCAGCCAGAGCCCAGATTTGAATCCAATCAAAAATCTGTGGGGTGATCTGAAGAGGGCTGTGCACAGGAGATGCCCTCACAATCTGACAGATTTGTAGTGTTTTGGCAAGGAAGAGTGGGCAAGTATTGCAAAGTCAAGATGTGCCATGCTGACATACTCATACCCAGACTGAGTGCTGTAATAAAATCAAAAGGTGCTTCAACAAAGTATTAGTTTAAGGGTGTGCACAATTATGCAACCATATTATTTTAGTTTTGTTTTTTTTTTACTTCCCTCCACCTAAAAGATTTCAGTTTGTTGTTCAACTGAGTTGTACAGTTTATAGCTTACATTAAAAGGTGGAAAAAGTTCTGAAATTATTTATCTTTGTCTCATTTTTTTACATCACAGAGACCTGACATTTTAACAGGGGTGTGTAGACTTTTTATATCCACTGTAGTTGGTAAGGCTGAATAAAGAAACCAGTCCTTCCAGTTCAACCTGAGGGTGTGTGTGTTTATGTCACTACCATTATCGATATCCCTGTACATTCTGTTCGCTGAGAAACACATCTAAGATTTTTGGGAATTAATCTGTTCTCGCTATTGACACTGCCAACTGTGGAAAGGAGTTCCACATCTTTACTGCTCTAAACAGTAAAGAATACCTTGAATCGTTTAAGATTGAACATATTCTCATCCAGCTTTAATGTGTGCTACGCATCTTCTTTAGAGACCTTAGATTTAATAGTTTTCTCCCAATGATAGTCACCATTTAAAGATTTATATATTGCGATCAATTCCCCTCTTAAGCACTTCTTCTCCAATGAGACCATGTTTTACTTTTGTAGTTTTTCCTCATGACTGAGGTTCTCCCACTAGCCCTGTTAGTTTTGATTCCCTTCTCTGGACTTTCTCCAGTTTAAGGACATCCTTCCTGAGGATTGGTGAGCAAAACTGGACTGCATACTCAAGATGTAGCCAAACCACAGTTTTATAAAGCTGAGTAGAATTATAATTTTATCTCTTCGATAAATATTATTTTTAATGCATGATAGTCTGCTACTTTGGGTACGGGGGTGCCCATACCCACGCACCAAAGCCAATGGGACCTAATGAGTTTACCTAATTTTCCTAAAGAAAGAGATCAAGTACATATTGTCCATTCCTTCTTCAAAAGCGATATCATAAGAGAGAGGATAAACAACCTCTTATTGTGTTATCAAAGGCACACCAGTTTTTATCAGTAATGGTCCAATCAGGGAAAATAATTTAACAGCAATATACTGCTTGTATTAAGAGACTATTACAGCATGTCCCTATCCTCATCGTGGTAAGTCGTATATCCACGATAAGTATAGTTATTCATCTTATTAAGTGATCCATCCAAAGCGTAGCTGAGTTAAATATAATATTCATCCATCAGCGTTTTTAGCTTCCCTGTTCAACAATGTTATCTCTTCAAACATCCATTCTCATTGTTCACTATATGCATGTACATATACAGTCATTCATAGAAGAGGCCATTTCCCAATTTGTCCGGAACTGGAGACTGCAGATATACGCTATTTCTAAAAGGGAAGGGGGGATTGGCTTTCTAGCTCTATACACTGTATCTCAGAGTTCACCCATAACTCCTAACGCCGCTTTCCAGGAAGGAATTATGCATGAGTAGGCATATTGATGTTATATTGATCACAATCAATATCAAAAGGATAGGCAAAGGTTGCTTGAACTAAATCCTCTAAATAAGTATAAAGTGCTCTAAATCATATCCAAAATAAGAGTGCTCAGACCCAAAAAAAGAAAAAATAACCTCAACATGTTTTGCTCCTACAATGGAGGAGTTAATATGTATGCACCCCATATTGTGTCAAGCAAAAAGCACACGGTTTTCAGACGCATGAGAGGTAGAGGGAATGCAAGAAGCAGATCCCAAAAAACACCCTCTAGTAGCCAAGGGGATTTTTTAGGTACCCCTGGACAACGGCTCAGGAACAGAGACCAATGGGGATAATACAGGGGCCAGAAGGGGCCTACCAAATCCCAGGTAGATCATGATCTGGGCAATAGTAATATGGATCTCCAGATTTATAACTTAGATATACAACTATCACCAAATCACATTGCTGTGTTAAAAAAGGAGGGTTGTCTTTTGTCCCCATTCATGATTTAGATGTGTTTGAATAGGTGAAGGATATTAACCTCTTTGCCAGAAAACTAGTTTTGAGGAAGGAATTCAAGAACAGACATAACACAGATACCACAGATGAAAACATCAAGGGATATTGAGATGTTGAAACTCTTGGAATCATTACAAAATGAAAATGAGGGGAGACATGTGGGGATTGAGGGCCCATTTACATCTCTAAGGGTAGATACAACTACACACTTCCCATACCACAGGGTACTCAAATGCAACAGTTCATAAAATGAGTGGAACAAGAATTAACATCTTTAAGTACCAAAATACATGGAGATAAAAGAAAAGTTCTACAATCTCACTTATCCCAAATAGAAAGCAGTACAGGACCTAAAAATAATTAAGAGCTGATTATAAAACCTGGAGATAAGGGTGGTAATATAGTATTGATGAACAGGAATTTTTACCTTAAGATGTGTTATGATATGCTGAGTAAAGAGGACAATTATGAGGTCCTAGTTGGAGACCCTACTCAGGAATATCTAGCTACTTTAAAACACATCTTAGAAGATGCCAAATCAATGAAAATTGTATCAAAAGATGAAACTTTTAAAATAGAAAGTACTCGATTGTTTGAACAATTTAAGAAAAGGGGATACAAAACATTGCATCTTAAAAAATCTTTTGATCAGGTAAAAAGCATCCCTAGAGAACAGCTTCTTGTTCCCAAAAGGATTAAAAGGAGGAAGGTGAAATGAGGGTACTAGGAACATATTGTTGACAACCAGGGCAGATCTATAAATATTTTAAAGAAGTATTGGCATATATTGCTTGACGATAAAGATCTATCAAAGATGCTATCAAATGCTCCCATGTTTACATATCCAAAAGGAAAAAGTCTGCAAGACTTGTCATACAGAAAGAATATTTCAGCCACGGCAAACACATGTGACTGCCAGACAAACCTATGGCCATAGATGTGGCCATTGTAAGGCTTGTACCTATGTCCCCAAGGTAAAAGAATTCCTCAATCAGAAAAACGTTGAAATTATCACCATTAAAAAATTTTTTGAATTGTAGCATGGAAGATGTAATCTATGTGGCAAAATGTCCCTGCCCTATATATATATGTTGGAAAAATGATTTGTCAATTAAGACGTAGAATATTGGAGGATGTCATCAACCGTAACCACTTCCCCTCCAGAGAATTTACCACCCTTCCTGACTAAGCCATTTTTTGCAATACGGCGCTGCTTTACTTTAACTGACAATTGCACGCTCTTGCAATGCTGCACCCAAATGAAATTACAGTATTTCAC